TAGTGATTTCATAGCCTCGCAAAGCGAAATAAAAGATCAAGAAAACAGTGACCAAACCAACAGTATCCAACTTTAGTGGGCCACTCATTCCTCATTGGCTACAGCTGAACAGATGCTTGGAGGCGTATTTACCCTAAGCAATGATCTCTAGAGACCAACCGGTGGACGGTTCAGACTTGTGAAATGCTGCGAAATGCGAACACCGCCAAAGGAGAATTGGTTGATTATCATAGGTTTTCTTGGCTCTTTTCACTCCTCAAAATTGGCACTGTACGATTCCGGCCCAAAAAAAAACAGCCTAAAGAATAGAGGATGAAGAGTCCAATCTGTGTCTGGGATGCGCCAAGCGTTCTACATCCCTTAGCCGTCGTATTGTCTATTTGAAACCTCTTGGCCTACACAATAACCTTCAAGGGCCACCTTTACCCAGTATTTTTTTATCCTCTATTTTTAATACCTAAACCGTGAGTTTGGATAGGCATCGGCACTTTTCCTTACAGCACTTCCGCCTTTCGGAATCTGAACCTTATTTTGTATTTTAATATTCGCTGCCTGGCTATGAGCGGACCACTTCGCCCCCAGGCTGGAATTGAACCAGATCCTTGGCGTACTGGTCAAATGTGCTATCAATTACACTTCTCGGGGCTATTTCACCTCAACTCAGCATTCGACGGTATATTTAATGTTGCCTGCCAGGACCACGACCAGTTTTGCGACATCGGCATGAAAGTAAAAAAAAAATCGAGCAACTTTTAAACTAGTTGTAGGGTTGCTAATAAAATACGAAATTTGTTCAGAAGGTTTATAAAATGGACAAGGATTTTGATTATTGTGGTTTTGAAGTGGAATGTTAATTCATTCGAAGAGATTTGTTGACGAGACCTTAGCGCCTAATCATTTTGATGAAAATCTTTGTTTATTTTTTGTTAATGCGGACCCTTTTTACACACATAGGGTAGAGGGCGGAATAAACGTTTGGCCCTATGTATGTACGACAAAAAGATTTTTGTTTTTGCTAGGCAGAGAGGTGCGATGAGTGATTTGAGAAGAGTGACCAGAAAATCTTACTCTTTCAGACGCCTTTAGCTTATAAAGGGTAATATTAGCATGAGGTCTCTCACGGAATTGACGGACCA